GCAGCAGGGCCAGGGAGGGGATTGTCCCTCTGCTCTGCTCTGCTGAGACCCCACCTGGAGTGCTGTGTCCAGGTCTGGAGCCCCCAACACAAGAAGGACATGGAGCTCCTGGAGAGGGTCCAGAGGAGGCCACAAAGATGATCCAAAAGCTGGAGCAACTCTGCTCTGGAGACAGGCTGAGAGAGTTGGGGTGTTCAGCCTGGAGAAGAGAAGGCTCCAGGGAGACCTTAGAGCACATTCCAGTGCCTGAAGGGGCTCCAGGAAAGCTGGGGAAGGATTTTTGACAAGGGCTTGTAGTGAGAGGGCAAGGGGGAATAGATTAAAGCTGGAAGAGGAGAGATTGAGGTGAGACATGAGGAGGAAATTCTTGAGTGTGAGGATGGTGAGAGCCTGGCCCAGGTTGCCCAGGGAAGCTGTGGCTGCCCCATCCCTGGCAGTGTTGAAGGGCAGGTTGGGTGGGGCTTGGAGCAACCTGTTCTGGTGGGAGGTGTCCTTGCCCATGCAGGGAGGGTTGGAATGAGATGATCTTTAAGGTTCCTTCCAACCCAAACCATTCTGTGATTCTATGACATGCTACCTGACTTCAGGTACCACATCAAGCTGTTGGGGTGGGAGGCTTCCAGGAAAAAAAAGGGTTTTCTGAAAGTTCTGCTCTGTCCTCATGAGCCTGAGAGTCCATGCTGGGCTTATTCCAAGAAAGTTGTGTTCCGGCTGCTGATTTCTGGGCCTGAAAAATTATCACCACCAGCCAGAGGACAGCAGTCACCTCACACTCACAAGCTGGGGGGGGGGAGATAGGGATGCAGATGTCACCTAGGGTTACAAGGGAACAACAGAGCCACAGACAAGCAGAAATCTACCCCCAGCAGCCTCCTCTGCACCCCTCCTAGCAAACCCTCACTTTCAACAGCTACTTTTTAAACTGGCCCAGGGATATGGTGACTAGCCCAGGGCTGACCATGCACCCTGTCCCACCCCAGGCTCCTGTGCTAAAGCTCTGCCTCCAAATGCCAAAAGGCTAAGTGAAGATTTGGACCCTGGGGAAGCATCTGGCCCAAGAGTGGCAGGGCAGGGCTGCCACCAGCTCTCCTGAGCGTGGCAGTGGGGCTGGTGGGCAGGAGGTGGCACAGGAGATGTCTGCTCCACGGGGCTGCTGTTCAGGGATGGTGAATTCTGGTGCGGTTCCTCAGTGCCAGCAGGTTTTGCTTCACTCACACTCCAGGGGGTTTCCTGAACACAGCCCAGCCCATGCATCTGACAGGGGCAGACAGGGTGTTGGAGGGAGCTCCCCTCTAGTCAGCTGTCACAGCCCTGGTTGGCCTCATGCCACAGCCTGAGGGTTGTGTTTGTACACAGCCCTGCCGGGTGTCATCAGTGTTTGCACAGCCAAGCACAGGCTGTAAGTTACAGCTGAAACCTCCCTTTGGTGACTCTGCCACGTCCCAGGGCAGGTGTAGCATTTCCTCAAGCCACCCCACCACAGAAAGCAGGTGGCCTGCTCAGGGGTTTCTACTGTGGAGGGAGGAGATGACTCCTGAACCAACACTGCACTTCCCAAGGGCCCCCACCAGTTCTGGGGGAAAAGGGCAACATCCAGACCCTGCTGTGTGTCAGACCTGAGAGCCTGGAAACACTTGATGCAACACTGCACAGGACACTGTACAAATACCTCTTGTTCTGTGGTGTTCCATGCTTCAACACACCAAGAAAACAGAACATCAGGAACTGTCAGACCATCAGGTCTTAGAAGAGCTTGACCCTGTATCCTTGGTTTAGTCCAGCCTACAGCCACCCACTGACCAGCAGTCCCTCAAGGTGTTTCCACTGCTCAGAAGGTGCTGCTGGGGTCCTTGACTACCAGATTAGCAGGAGAGGTGCCAAAGTCCACAGGAACAAGTGTGGATCATGCCTTGGTACCCACCTCACTAAGGGCTCCACCACTTCCCCAGATCACTGCACGCAGCTGCAGGTGAATCCAGGAGCTGGGGCCCTTTGCTGACTCTCAGAGTTCCTACATCTTACTGAGGAAGGGGAGACCACACTAGAGAACATGGCCAAAATTATTTTTAAAAAACAAACAAAATAACCCCTCCCCCCAAAAACAAACCCCAACAAATAAAAACAAACAAGCAAAAAAAACCCCGCAAACCAAAAATGTGTAAAAAGCAAAACAAATAAGCAGAAAAAGGAAATGCATGGATGTACTCCTTGTTTTACCAAAACTCAAAGCATTCTCTTAAAAAATCAAGGTTTCCTGCAAAGGCTGACAGTTTTGGATCAACTCCACCACATCCAGTTCATCCACAGCAGCA